AGCGATGTGAAGGCGTGAGAAATGTGATTGGAGGGAATTGCTGGACCCTAACGTTCTCTGCTTTTCCCGCATGCATTGGCTTCACATCACCTCTTTTCTGTCTTTCTGTGTCTCAAGTCGGCACCGTAGACTGTGTGTGTGTGTGTGTCTGCGTATACAGAGAGACAAAGAGACGGATATGTACACACACAGTTTTGTCTTGACTAAACGAGCTGATAAATGACTCTGTTTTCTAGTTTCCAGATGAAGAAAACTTTCCAAAAGGAAGGGCTCGCTTTAATGTTGAAGCCAATTTTCAAGCAATAGCTGAGTCTAGTGAGGACTCAATTGAAATTGATTGTAAGTAAATTATAAGTAAAATGTAACATGAAGAAAGTATTTGATATTGAACAAACTTATGTAAAGATCCATGCTTTTTGTCTCCACAGCAATTTTAGATTTTCCTTCTAAAGATTCAGAATATTCACGACATTTGGATTACGATTTTCCGTCAGCAGCGAGGACTTCATGGGAAGCAAATAAGGTATAACGAAAAAGAAGTTTTAATGGTGGGAGTCAAAAGTTTTGGTAGTCTTATGAAAAATGAATGTCTTGAAAAGTAAAAAGATAAAAATCTTAAGGCTGGTTTCTTTTAACACGATTGAGAAAGTTTATCAACACCACCCGACACTGTTTCAGCGATGGATGGGCCGGGCGGCTTCTGCAGGAGAAGCCACAGTGGGCATGGCTGCTCTCTCTGTCATCCAGAGATGCTTTGATTCTTACAACATGACATGAGATGAGAGGCATACGTAATTAGAAAGTAAGAAATAGAAGAGTCAATTAAAAACGAGACGTTAAGAATTGTGTAAAGGAGTCAAAGATAAACACGAGAAACGAATGGCTGTCCTAAGCCAATTAGGACACGTAATGTCAGAGGAGGCCGGCCGCAGTCAGAAGCAGTGTGCGCGCCGAGCCTAGGCGTCCCGAGCGTGGGGCGGACTGAAGTCTCACCGTGAACCGTGAGACCCGAGAGGTACTAGGCATCGCGCCGTGCTGGTGCCTTCTGCAGGCCGGGAGTGTGTGGGCGTGGCTAGAGTGATGGACAGAACACGTGAGGTCTGCTCTTAAAGGCAGCGGGGGCGGTGGCGGGGGGGGGTGTAGGTAGTAACCCAGGGGACAAACAAAAACTGACTGGGATGACCGCTGTGTGGGAAAGCTGGCAAGTCCCTGGACGGTTTGCTGCTAAAGGCCCGTGACTCAGTGTGCATCCTGGAGGTTTTGCTGGCTGCTCGTGGATGGTGGGCCCGCTGGTGTGCGGTGGGGGCAGGGCGTGAGAGGAGCCGTAGGTGACAGTGACCCGAAGTGGGGACTAGCAGGGAAGGTGTGGAGGAGTTAGTAAGTAGGTTTCAGGTCAGTGTTGGGGGTGAGCACGATGTTCCTGGGCTGGAGGGGAGGGAGGAGAGAGACCCCCGACTTTGTGACTTGACAGCGTGTGGGGGAAGGGGCTTCCAGGCAGAGGAAGATGGTGTACCTTCCAGGCGGCTGGGCGGCTGCAAGGGCACAGCGGAAGTCCACAGTCGTGGGGTGGCTGCCGTGGTTTCTGGGGAGGACTCCTGGCTCGCAGGGGCCGCCGTCTCTCTGTGCCCTCACCACCTTTTGTTGGCGTGTGCACCTGCGTGGGGGCAGAGGGAGACGGAGGCGCCTCTCCCCGGGGACGCGGATTCTCTTGGACCATGGTCCCCTCCTGTGACCTCATTTTGCCTGTATTACCTCTTGAAGCACCTGTCTCCAAATGCAGTCACATTGGGGTCAGGGCTTCAGCACAGGGGCGTGGGGAACAGTGCAGCCCTCGGCGGTGGGGAGGGGGGCCTCGCTCATGTAGAGATGCAGAGCGAGGAGGCGGGGACACGGGTCTGGTGGGGCCAGAGCTTGGTCATTGCACGTAGAAGAGCTAAAGCATCGAGAGGGGACTGCCCGCGTAGTGTGGAGAAGACTTTCTGTCCTGTCGGCAAGAGCCGGGACGGGGCGGGGCCGCGGCGTCAGTCCCTGCTGGCCTGAGGAGGGAATCGATCTGCTGGGCCCCTGGCGGGAGCGGTCACAGCGAAGCGAGGGTAGGGATCCGTTACCGTGGTTGCTGAGTGGTGAGTGACAGGCGAGAAAGTGGGACTGGACAGGGAATGCTCCCTAAAGACGAGCTCACTGGGTGGTCGGTCACTCAGCGGATACTTCCAGCGATCCCTGGGTTGCGGTGCCCTGGGTGCCCGGACCTGCCCTCGGGAACTTGGGCCTCCTGAAGAAAGGCAGACAGCAAGTACGGGTGGCCCCTCGGAGGGCCTTGCGTAGGGGGGACAGCAGGCTGTGTGAGGGTGGCACCCTATGTTCCGGGGTCGAAGGGGGCCTCTGATAATGCGGTCAAGGAGAGACCTGAAATCAGGGGCATAGGGCACAGGGCAGCGCCTGCAGCTCCGGGCCAGGAGTGTGGGGAGACGGGACACTGGTGTGGGGCCCGGGAGTATGGGGAGATGGGACGTGGGGGCGGGGCCCGGGGGGGAGGGAGTGTGGGGAGACGGGACACAGGGAGGAGCCCGGGGGGGTGGGGAGATGGGACACGGGGGCAGGCCCGGTGGGGTAGTATGGGGAGACGGGGACACGGGGTGGGGCCCCGGGGTGTGGGGAGAAGGGAATGTGGGGGCGGGCCTCAGGGTTGTGGGGAGACGGGACACGGGACCAGTGGTGTGGGGCGTCGGTCCCGAGGTGACAGCTGCCTGCGCAGTGCGGCCCACCCACACCCTGACCTGCACCCCGACTCTGCTGTCCCAGGCGCATGCGTCTAAGGGCCGTGGCCACCTGACCGCTGCCCTCAGGCCCTTGGTTGTGCCGTGAGGGACAAGAGAGCGTCCCCCTCCCACGGGCCGTGCGGGTCTGTAGGCGACAGGCAGGTGCGGGGCCTGCGCGACAGGAAGGGCCGAGCCACGAACTGACCGTCTGCGTGCCGCCCGCTCGCACCGAGCTGGGTGTCCCTGCCGCGTCCTTGGCCCTGGCACCACTCTGGACCAAGGGCTGGTCAAGAAAGTGTTGATTTATACATAGACTTTGCATCTTTATTGGTCGTTTACTCAAAATAAATAACACACGCACGCCTTACAATTTCATACCGTGCGGAAGTGGACAAAGTTAGAGGACGAAACCTTGCCCAGGCCCGGTCAGAACCGGCTCCGGCGGGTTCCCTGTTCTCATGCACGTGCGCACCGCGGCTCCGTCACGCCGAGTCCTGAGGCGACTGCTGGAAGCAGCAGCACAGCTAAGGGCTCGGGGCTGTTCTATGGGGCGTGAGGGAGTGGGGCGACGGTCAGCTGTGCGAGGCGACCTGAAGCGTCCGGGACCTGGGGCCGAGTCCCGCGTGAGGAGCGGCTGGGCGAGCTCTCGCCCTGGGGACGTGAGGGGCAGCCTCCGCGGGGCGTCTGCCCGAGCCCCCCAGACCCGACCTTCTCCGGAACCAGATCCCAGCCCAGGTCAGTCCACTCCTAGCGGGCTCCTTGTCCTGCGTGTCCCTTCCTGCTGTTGATTTCACGAGTCGGTTCTGTCCCGTCCCTTTGCCCTCCGCAGCTCCACATGGTGTCATCAGAAGCATTATCTGTACCTTGTGGATTTCTAGAATTCACTCAGACCGTGCGGGGGAAATGCAGTAAGAAGGTGTTGGTCTGGAGCTGTGTTTCCTCTTTCTGGATAGGTGACGTCACCAGAGCAGATGTCCACAGCAGGCCCTGTTTCTCCTTTTTCTCTGGACTTGGGAGATGAAGACTGCACACAGGACTTCTCCGTGGAGTCCCTGGAAGCAAGGACCTCACCAGGTGACCTTCCCTTTCTCAGCTGTGGCCATGCGGCTCTGATGTCTGTCTGTCCCTGTGATGTGCAGCTTTTCACTTCAGGGAGCCAGACTCCACGTTGTGCCCCGAAGCCACCCACGTTCCTCCTCCCTCGTGGCTCCTTCCCTCACAGGTGGCTCCTGTTTCCAGGACAACACGCCCTTCTGGCTCCAGGTCCTTCTCTCAGCTTTCCACATAGGCCTCCGAAACTGTCCTCCAGAGCTGCAGTCTTTGTCACAGCTGCCACGCCAGAGCCTGGCCCCCCTGGCCCCTCGGTGGCCCTTCCCTCACAAGGGACCGATTCTTCGGAGTGTGACCCACACCACTGGGCGACCTTAGCCTCACCCCGAGTTTCCCCTTTTGTGTGTTGAGACCTGGCCTCGTCAGCGAGCTGCTGCCCCGGCCACACGCCTAGGCCCCTTGTTTCCTGTGCGTAGACTCCCCACGGTCACTCCCTGCTTGATAAGTGTCATACGTCCTGTGGGGTCCCTTCCGCTAACTCGTCATCTCTCTTTTCTGCCCATCTCACCCGTGCAGCGCCCCGATTCTGAAGCTGTGTGGGGTGAGGGGCGACGTTGCTGGCGGTTACCCTGTCCTGGGTGGCGGATGTGAAGAGCTTTGTCACGTGGACGGGTGGTCGGGCAGAGCCCGCGGGTGTACTCTGTAGAGGAGCAAGGCAGGGGAGGGTCCGTGTCAAAAGCAGGCGTGACCCCGGGGGACCCGATGGCTGCCATAGCCATGCCCGGCACCCTTACTCAGTGATGAGGTTTTAACTTCTCTGTCGGTGTCGCTCGATGGGCCGTTAGGACCACAGCCTCACACTTTATAAAAGGGTGTCACTGGCTTGCCTGCTGCTCTGCTAGCTTCCCAGGTGATCGCCGGAGTTTAACTGCTCAAAAAAGGCCAATTGTTCTAAAAAGGGAAACCACAGCATTGTCAGACAAAATCTTTCAGCCTATGTAGTCCCGGGCAGTATTAGCCATTCACTGATTTATTCAACAAATATTTGTTGTTGTTTTTTGCATTTTCAGGAATATTCTATTACTAACACAGCCAAAACACGAGTTGGCCAGAACTGAACTCTTATCATGTACCAATAGATTAAAAAAAAAAAAGCTAAATGTCTTTTTTACCCTGAAGGTTGATACATTAATTCGTGAGTGTCATAAAAACTTGGAGGACATGACAGTCACAGTCAGATAAACGCACCATGAACTTGGTTCTCTGGGGAAGGACGTGAAGTTGAGAACGAGAACTTGCGGGTGCTCCTCCTGCCCGCCGGTCGGTGCTCGGGTCCCCCCTTGGCCTCGGCGGTCCCACCTGCACGCCGAGAGCGACGCGCCATGGCTGGAAGTGCCCTGAACACCTAGGTGCCGTGTCACATGGTGTGGCGATGGGGGTCGGTGGCTGAGGGATAAGGAAGCGATGGTGTCAAATTCATCGACTTTAGAGGAGTTTCAGAGTCTATTAGTTAAACTTTGAAAGGTTTATGTTTTTTTGAGACTAAAACCATTAATTTTTTTTTTAATTTTAAAAAAGGAAATGAAATTATGTGATTTTTTTTTTCAAGGCCAGTTGGTACTTTTTTGTATAGATACCCACTTCTCTGGAGCCTAGGTATGACCTTAACACATTTTTTTAATTGGTGTTTTTTTTTTCCAGTAATGAAAAAATTCAGCTTTCTGGAGAATAAGGACTTTCAAAGGCTTCCGTTAGAAAGTAGCGTGCGAGTTCCACTCGTCACGTTGCCACCTGCTGATGGGCCCCCTGACCTGGATCCTCAGTCCCATGTGACCGGCTGTGACAGGCCAGAGTCCTCGGGTTCTCCCGTATTCAACCTGTGTGAAGACTCAGTGACTCTTCCTTTCAGCCTTGGGCCTGAGGGCCAAAGAGAAGCTTCTTCGTTTAAGGGTTGCAGGGCAGTGACACCAGGGGGCGACTCACTTCTCAGAAACATGTCTGCTCAGAGCAAGTGGCTGAAATATCAAAACACACCCCAGTGCAACTTGCCGAAACGGAGCAGACTGGACACGGAAGTCACAGGTGGCTTCTTCGCCGAGTCTGTCTCGGGCGGGTGTTTTGGTGACATGGGTGAAAGGCAGAGCGACGCCGTGAGGGGACGCTCTTTGGATGCCGTGCACGTGCGGATGATACGAGGCATGCTCCGTCAGCAGCAGCAGGGCGTCAGTCACGACTGGGTGAGCGGAGGGAAAGCACCTTCTCTGAATTTAAAGCAGACTTCCAGGACCGAGGAAACTCAGACGGAGCCGGGCGGGCCTGCCTGCCGTGAGCACGCTGCGACGGGGCGCTCACAGGTGAGGAAGCCCAGCAGCGTGTCCGCGAGCTTGTTCCAGCGGTTACTGTCTGGAATTCCACAGAAGACCAGTGATTTCACTCTCGGAGCCAGTGGCATTTGGTTTTTTTAGTTTTCTGTAACTTAGCTACAGTCACCTCTGTGACTTAATCTTTCCTAGCTGTTGCGAGTGTCGGTGAAATCAGGTGTTTGAAAGTGTCCGGGGCCGTGTTTGGCACAGAGCAGGCTCTCGGCTGTTGCTGGCTGTGTCTGCCAGCACTTCCGTTGTGCGAGTGTTCTCGTGTCGGCTGTCAGCTCGGTTTCGCTGATTGTGAGGGCAGCATGGTGTCGTGTCACACGGTGGCTGTGAGCAGTTCTTATTACGGCTGCAATCAGAAATAGACATAATGATCCATTTACATCAGGTGAGCTTTTCCTGGCAAAAAGCACTTAAAAACTTGTTCAGGGCAGACAAGAAGTGAGTCTTCTGTATCATCAGGAGTGCTACGCATAGCCATTCTTGCTATGCTGGTTTCTCATTTAAAATTGGAAAATCATTTTCAAGGATTCTGGAAATTTTGCTTAATTGTTTATTTTCTTAAACATCTCTAGAAAATAGTTTACTTATTAGTAAACAGCGTTTGGGTTTTTTTTTTGTGGTTTGGTAGTAACTTGAGTTATTCCATTTCAGGAGATAAGTGACTCTGAGCTGTGCTTCCCGAGCGGGCAGAAGGTGAAGTCCGCTCGCCTCCCCCGGCGGCAGACGTGCATTCCAGCTGTCTTTCAGTCTCCTGCCCATTACAAGCGGCTCTTTGCGTCCTGCCTCATAGGTTTGCTGGCCACCTTCGTACTTTATTACAGTCGATTGCTGCATAATGTCAGTAGTAAACTGTGAGAAGATGTGATATCGTCTATCGTGAATTCTTATAATAAATTCTCTGCTTGGGATTTGTTATTCTCTATGTTTATTCCAGTTTTTGAGAGTAACTTATATTCTAAATTCAGGTGAAAATTGAGCTTTAAAAGTAAGAAATGGCTGTGTTATCTTTCTCAAGTCATAGTTGTGTTTTTTTAACTAGAATTGTTACATTTGGTTTTGTTAAGTAGGAAATGTATGATGCACGATTAGTTTGTTGTACAAGGGGAAATCTTGCCTTTAAAACGTGGATATTAGTATTGGGTTATCATTTACTATGTTAAAACGCTATTGTCAAATTTAGCTAACAGCACACGTGTCACACAAACACCAAGTTGTTCTGGATTTAATTTTCATCTGTTTCTTTTTCCGTAGAACATCTAAATATATTGCTGTTTGGGCTGGCACAAAGGTTGCATGAAGCTCTTGCAAAAGTCGACATATCATTTTACACGTCATCAAAGGGAGAGAAACTGGAAGATGTGGAAAATAACGTGCCATCCTGTCATCACCGTCAGCCTGCGAAACTCGTCATGGTTAAAAAGGAGGGTCCGAATAAGGTCTCGTTGTCCCCTCCCCTGCTGTCACCCCACCGCGGACTCCTGTCGCGAGAGGTCCGGGTGCCTGTGGCTTCGTGACCAGCTCAGTTCCAAGCTGGTCTTGACTCCTGTCGCGAGAGGTCCGGGTGCCTGTGGCTTCGTGACCAGCTCAGTTCCAAGCTGGGCCCTCTCCCCGAGGCTCTGGTGACTTAGGCTCTCAGTGCGGTCCCTGGAGAGACGCCTGTGCTCAGGGGCACCCGTGGAATAAGAGCTGCCTCGAAGCCTCTCAGGGGCTCGCTGCACTAGTGGGTGGAGGGACGACCGGCGTTTCCTGGGGGGCTGCAGCTGGAGAAGGGGTGACCTGCCGGGGCGAGCGGCACCCCGCTGTCGGCTCTGTGCCCCTGGGACGAGGCTCAGAAAAGTGTCCTGGTCAAATTTCTATTGCCGGATACATGTTACAGTGGCAGAAGTCAGTGAAACGTTTGTGCGTTGGCTGATGGTTTGTCCTCGTAAGACCTGCTCTCAGTCGTAATGACAGTTTTCCTCCCTTGTTTGTGATCCCATGTCATCGTTAGCTGGGTGTGTAACCTTAGATTTAAATTCAGTTATCAAGTACAAGAGTTCATAAGTAATATTAGAACCATGGAATAAAATATAATAGAGCCACTAAAACTCCTTGTTCAAGATTACTTGATGACATGGGTGTCATACAGTTAGGTACAAAGGTTAGGTTACAGAGCAGAAAGTGTGTTTGTTATCTGAGTTTTATTTAAAAAATTAGGTATCTCGTGCGCGCGCCTGTGTCTCTTGCGTGGGCCCGTGTCTCCTGCGCGGGCCCGTGTCTCGTGTGTGCGCCCGTGTCTCCTGTGCGGGCCCGTGTCTTGTGTGCGGGCCCGTGTCTCGTGTGTGCACCCGTGTCTCGTGTGTGCGCCCGTGTCTCCTGCGCGGGCCCGTGTCTCATGTGCGGGCCCGTGTCTCGTGTGCGGGCTCATGCATGTGTGTGTACCCGTGTCTCACGTGCGGGCTCATGCATGTGTGTGCACCCGTGTCTCATGTGCGGGCTCATGCATATGTGTGTACCCGTGTCTCGTGTGCGGGCTCATGCATGTGTGTGCACCCGTGTCTCATGTGCGGGCTCATGCATGTGTGTGCATCCGTGTCTCATGTGTGGGCTCATGCATGTGTGTGCACCCGTGCGCGTGAGAGAGGGGCCGGGAAGGAGCACGTGGGCTGCCCTGGCAGTAGTCACTGGGCAGCAGCGCCCAGGCTGTCTGTAGTGATCATTTCAAACCAGAAAACCAGTGAATTTTAGTTTTCAAATTGGCTAGTATTTTTAGAATAGTGTAATTTTTTGATAAGGAGAAAGCAAATGATGATTTTAAATTTTATTGTTTAAATTAATGAAAAGATTAAGTTGCATAGTGACTAATTTATTAGAGTACATTAATGCCGTCAACCTTTATAAAAGTCCTGACAAACCCAGTACAAACACAGTGAAAATAAAAACATTATTGTTCTCACTAAATTTTAATACCTTCTCCCCCTAGGGCCGTCTTTTTTACACCTGCCATGCACCCAAAGCTGCCCAATGTAAGTTCTTCAAGTGGCTTGAGGAAGCGACCCCAGGACACTCAACGCGGGAGGCATCTGCCTCCCGCACGGTGTTGAGTGATGTGAAGAGCATCGGCTTGTACCTAAGGAGTCAGAAAATACCCTTCTACGAGGAGTGTCAGCTTCTGGTGAGGTGTGTGTCACGCTGCAAGTAACTGCCTCTAGTTATACCAGAAATTAGTAACCTCACAGAATTATCGTCAGTTTTAAAAGCAGTTGAGATGGGAAAAGTGTCTCGAAGGTAGAGGACCTCAGTTTTGCTCTGAAATGGAGACAGTTCCCTACGCTGTTTTCGGCCCGCTCTGCACATGGAGCATCGAGTGCCTGCGACACCAGGGAGTGTGCGCTTCCAGCCGCGCCTCCGCGTCGTCGCAAAGGGAAGCCCTCGCAGCACACCACGGGGGCAGGTTTTACTGTGCAGCACGACAGGCCCAGGTCACCCCCAAGCCCGGGCCACGGGCTTCACAGTGTGGCAGAGTGCTGCTCCCTGGAGACCGGTCTTTAAAAAGTGGGATGAACCCAAAGAGCAAGTAGAATGAGCGTTTCCATGATGATTTAACAAGATCGAGTTCTGGGATCTGTGTGCCAGGCGCTCTTCTTGGCACTTTGGTCTTCGTGATGGCCTGTGAGACGGGGGCTCACAGGGCCGGTTTATTATTCCCATCTCACAGCCTCAGCAGCCAAGGTTTCAAGCACTTCTTCTGTCTCAGGCTCTTAAAACTAGCGATGACTGAGGATGGCTGTTTCTTCCTATAATGATGACACAGTGTATTTTTAGTGTGTGTGTGTGTGTGTGTGTGTGTGTGTATACACATATATATGAAAGTATGTTAACATACACACACTCTGGTTCTCTTCTTTTCATATTGTGTGTTAAAGATTTAAAAAAATATTTATACCTTCAAACTCTTAGTGATAAAATAAGTCCTTGGGGTGTGATGTGTAGTGTGGTGACCGTACTTAATACTGTTTGTGTATTTAAAAGCTGTTGAGAATAAATCTTAAAAGTTCTCACAAGAAAAAAATAACTATGTGGTGATGGACGTTAGCTAGACCCGTCCTGGCGAATCGTCTTACAACACCTGACCCTAATAGAATGTTACATGTCAATTATACAACAATTAAGAAAAAACTGGTATCTTTACATTCAAATTCACTTTTGTTTTTTACTCATATTGCAGGAAAGGATTTGATTTTCAAAGAAAACAGTATGGCAAACTAAAGAAGTTTAGGACCGTAAATCCTGAATTTTATAATGAACCTAAAAGCAAACTTTATCTTAAGCTGAGTCGGAAGGAAAGTTCTTCGACTTACAGCAAAGGTCAGTGGGCAGCTCCGTGTGCTTTGTGCTAATATAAAGTGATGTGGGATATAGTTTGAATTATTATAGAATAAATTAGACCATTCCTAAATGCATATTTTAAATTTTTAGTTTTTAAAAATCTATTAAAGGCTACCAAAACTGTTTGATTTTGTTTAAAAAGTCACGCTAAGTTCTCGGCATCATATAAATAAGCATATTGATTCGACTACTCTGACCTAATAGCAAAAATAAACTGAAAATGTAATGAGTTTATTAATACTTCTGTCATAGTCTGCACAATTTGACAACACTGGACCCCGAATTTTGTGTATTTGGAAGTAAAATCCATAACCATTTTTTCTAAGGCCTTAGATGCCCCAAATTGGGTGAATCGTTATCTTCGGTGTCGTGACCTGCTCTTGTCACGGCCCTCACCTGGGTCTCTTTAGTTATTTACTTGGTTGTTTTCAATACTATCGGTGTCTGCGAATCCACAAACCAAAGCAAAATCTGGCACCTTTACCGCGACCTACATGTAACATGAAGCGACCCGCTGCCTGCCCTGTGGTGTCCCCTGACCCAGGGTCGTCAGCAGTGTGACCCGCGTGCTCATCCACCTCTTGCTTTTTTGTAGTCGGTTTACATAAACGAAGTCCCACAGAGCTCATTGCAAATGTTTGGTTTATTCAACGTTATTGGAATGACGGGACTCTGTACGTAACCTTGTGGAATTTATCTTTTCCACTCACCACGCATTGCTGCAATGTGTGCGTGTTGTCGACACTGGACTCTCGTTCGGCCGCTGTGTGTTTTGCTTTGTGACGGTGCCGCAACCGTTCGTCCGCTCTCCGGCGTGGCTGTTCTGGGTCCCAGCTTTGCCGTCGTGAGCCGTGCGCCGTGTGTATTCCCGCCCCGCCTGTAGGTGTGCCAGCGTCTTCTCGCCATAATCCTGGGAGCGGAAACGGTGCCGCGCCAGACTGGCTTCTGCAGCGGGCACGCCGGGGCGGCCAGTGACGGGCGGCAGCAGCCCTTGTGCTCTGCGTCCGCTCGCCCTGGATGGTGACAGCTCTTCCCGTCTGCCCGTCACGCTTCTCACCCGTTGTACTGTTGTGTTGTTCGCGACCTCATTTACTTCCAGTTTTTATATTTTTCACGTTACTCTTCTATTGGTTGTGTATAGTGTGACTTTCTGCTCCCAGTTCATATCACGTCTTGTCACTTCTTTCAAGATATCTTTAGATAAAGGATTATTTTTTAATATACTCAAAGTAATAGTCGTCGTCAAAAAGATAGTGCTTTTTTGTCTTGTTTTAAAAATCTTTCCACATGCTGAGGTCTGAAGTTATCCACCTGTATCGTCTGTTAATCGTGTTAGAGTGTTGCGTTTGACCTTTGTCTCACTTGGAAGGTTGTTAAGGTCCCGAAACGGCATAGCGCGTGCGGAAACCGCCACCTGTGAGGGGTTGTGTCTGTGCATGGCATCGGATAGGGACCCAGTTTCACCTCCCTATGACCAGTTTTGCCAGAATCATAATAGTTTTGTTGCTTAGCCTCTCTTTCCTCCAGCTCAGTGCGCCCTGTGCCGGGTGCCGGGTGCCGGGTGCTGGGTGCAGAGCGCTGATTCAGGAGTCGTGGTTTGACACAGTCCGGGTGGCGTGTGCGTGCCAGCCCCATATCACCCTGACCCCGCAGCTCCCTCCACGCTGCATGGCTCCTGCCTTCTCGCTGTTTGCACCTGGAACGTCGAGATGGTTTTATTAGTTGCGTACAAATTTGAAGTTGCTATTTTCTTTGTCAGTTGAAACTTGTATCGGGTAGAAACTGTCTCCATCTCTAATAATACTTAGCTTTTAAAATCTAGTTTTTCATATATCTACAGGAGGTTCATTTTGACTAGTGTTTGCTCAGCAAGTCTTTAAAGCTTTTCATTACACCGTAGGCATGTCCTTTATCAACAGCTGAGTTTTTAAAATTTGACCTGTGAATGGAGTAAGCGCAACAGGTAAATGCATTATAATCACAGGTACACGTGGCTATGTTTCTACAGTCATGAGTTTTTTCTGTTTTCCTCACTTTATCTGTGTTCTTCTTAATCTCCTCTTGCTTTTTTTTGGAAAACATGACAGTTAACTCCCACCCTGCGATGGGACGGGAACGTGGAGAGCTTCCGCACACTTGGTCCGCTGGGCCCCTCTGTCCACCTCCTGCCGCGTCACGCTGCTCAAGTGCGATCCGCAGGCTGGTCCCGGTCACAGTGCCGCCGGCGTCCTGTGAGATGGGGGGCTGCTCCTGGCGGCCCTGTGTCGTCAGGGGCCTGGTTGGTGGTTTTGCTTCGTGTTATTTGCCATAAGACGGTGAATGAAGGCAGCGTGTGCTGATCCGCTAACCGCGTTCTAGCACGAGCGTCCGGACAGGCTGCTTGGAGTAGCACTAACCTACACACGTGACTTTTGGGTAGCGTGGATTTATTTTCCAGATGTAACTACTGTTTAAAAAATGACTGCAAACTCGTCCAAGGTGTTTAATTACTTTAATTTCATGTATCCCTTTTTAGATCTCTTGAATTTTTCTGTTTTCTTTATGTATTTCCTCAAAAAGTATTTTGAATGTAGGTCTTTGTACGGTTAACCCACCGAACCCTTGAGCCCCTGAGACCATTTTTACTGCACATTCATATTTGATTGAATGTTTGGCTCCATGTAAAATTCTAGATTCTAAGTTCATTTCATACTTTTCACCTGCAGAAACAGCAAATCTTATTTAAAAACTTGGCTATTTTCTTGCACTTACTGTTGCTGTGGGAAAATCTGATGGCCTTTAGTTTTCACTCCTTGATATGTTATTTGCTCTTTCTGGCTGGAAGCTTTAGAATTTTCTCTGACTTTTGTAGTCTTACGTTTCCCTATAATGTGTCTTACTGTGGGTTTTTCCTTTTTCTCCTCTTGGGCACACTGGGCCTTTAAAATATTAAGTCTTCTGTTTCCGAAGTCATCTACCATGTATATTAAATATGTATAGCTTTTTGCATGTCAGTCAAACCTCCATAAAATGACTAAAAAAACCACCGAAGTCCTTTATCTATTTTTTCCCCCAATTCATTATATAAGTTTAAGACATGCAGCGTGATCGTTCAATTTACAAATACATATTGTGAAAAAAGGTTTTTAATTCTGAGAAATTGATCTCTATAATTTCTTCAGATGGCCCTTCCTCTTTACTTCTCTCTCTAGGACTCCTACTAGTCACACGTGAGCACTTCCGGATCTGTCCTCTAAGTCTCTCCCCACGTCTTCTATGTTGTCTGGGTTTTGTGCTTCCTTCTTCTGGGAGATGCCCTTCTAAACTGCTTAGTTACTTCTCAGATGTGTCCTTTCTGCCATTCATCGCAGCAATTATAACGTACTCCGGCTGCCATATTTTCCCAACGTCGTGTTTTCGTTCACTCTCTTCGCATATTCTTGCTCTTATTTTGTGTTGCTATCTTCCCTTACCTCTTTGTCTCTTTAC